CAAATTTCCCGGAACAGACTAGTGGGCTTGTCTATGGCTGTATCTGTGTATTTAAATAGACCAATTAGAATCCCATTAGTTTTGGAGCCTTACGCTAATGCCTTCTTTGAAGCTTGTAAGTCTTAATTTGTGGCCATTGATTCTTGATCATATGCTGCTTCCTGAAATGATTCAGTATTGACCATTGTGTTGGTTTGTTGGGATTTTCTTTGTTTGTTGGTTGGTTGGTTTTTGTTGTGTGTGTGGTTGGTTTTTTTTTGGTTTGTTTGGTTTTTGTTTTTTTGCATAGTGACTGAGTACTCCTTTCACCTTCTTTTTTTAGAATTATTTTTTTTTTGGTTTGCATACAAACATTGTGTTTCATTTATATACATTGTGTTCCACACATTCTTTCATTCACATTGCGTTTCATACCATTATCCCCCTATATTGTGATCTTGTTGGTGTGGATTTTTATTTATTTTACATTGGTTGTTTACAAGGTTTCTGCTTTTGATATCCCACAGTTCTTTCAATATTGTGACCGTAGTTCATAGCGAGTGGCCTGAACTATACGGTGTTAGTCTGCTAACACAAAGGTTGCAGCTCTCTGGCATTTTTAATTCACCAACAACTCCATGGAATAAAGACTAGCAATCTACTCCTGTGTGATTGTTGTTGTTGTTATGTGTCATTGAGTCACCTCAACGACTGCAACTTACAGTGACCCTATGTACAACAGCTCTAAACCCTGTCCTAGACTGAGCTAATCTCATCGACTCCAACACACCTGCCCCCGTGATCTCAGTCACCATGTCAATCCATTTCATCCAGAGTCATCCTCTCTTGTGTTGTCCTTCCACCCATCCAAGCATGATGTCCTTCTTCAAGGACTGTTTTCTCCTAGAAATATCCCCAATTATGTGACATGGAGCTTTAAAAATTTTGTCTCTAGAAAGTAACTTGTTATTACCCCCTCTAGGACAGACCTGTTTGTTCTCTTGGCAGTCCATGATATGTTCAATACTCTTCTACAGGACGATTCAAAAGCACCAATTCTTCTTCTGTCATCCTTGTACATTGTCCAGCTCTCTGATACATAGCAAGTAATTGTGAAGATCATGGCCTGGATACAGTGCACCTCTAAAACACAGTTGTCACTCCAGTATAATGAGTTTTCTAGAGGGAGGAAGGTCATATTTTCTCACAATTTGTAATCTCAATGAAAGCAAAGTATCAACTTTTACCATCTTGAAGACTTTAGTCCCTCACTTAAAAACAAACAACATGATAGCCTCTGCTTAATTATTATGTCTCAGAAGAAAAGACAGACATAAAGAAAGGAGGTTATATGGCTCTTTTGGTTTGGAATTATTTTTATAATATTAATAATATATTATGAATTTATATTTATATTTATATGATAAATAAACGCTGGCATACAGCAAATGTTGAGTACATTGAATGAGAATGTAAGTACAAGTGGTTCATAGAGAAATACCAATTGAGAAAGCATTTGTCTTACAGCATTTTGACATGGGTGTACTTATAATATAAATCTACTCTATTAGCATCAGAGTCAGCCACCTTAATAGAATGATATGGAACATTAAAACAATTATCCATTATTAGATACTCCATTCAACTCCACCTACACACTAGAAAAATGACTTTGTATTCATAATCTGTGTATTTCCACGGGTTTTTGTAGAGTTTTCAAAGCCTAAAATTTTCTATAGCTTAACAGGAACCTGTAATTACATCCACAAATGTTTTTAAAGAAAAAAGTTGAGAAAGTAAGTGTGCAGGTAACTCTTGCTTTTCTAAGTTCATTCTATGCCATTTTCCTTTTTAGAAGGATCGACATAATACTTGTGTTTGCTAAATGAAAGACATTTGGAGAGGATTTGAACCTTACCTTGAAAAGTTTGAAAAAGAAAACTAGCGGTTAGTTTTTATTTTACAGTGAATCATAAAGAAACATTGCCCTAATCTCTTCATTCTCACGCTCCAAGAGCAAGAATTGAGGTGCAATTTCCTTCCACTGGAAGGATTCTCAATCTCTCAGCATCAAGGCACCCTATCTTTCAAGCGTCTTTTTGAGCACTTAATGTTATTGAGTATTATCTGGTCGGTTATTTATTGAGTCTAGGAAAGCTCAAAGTTTTTCCATTATCTATGGATGTCAATTGTGTCTTTCTTTTAAATCCTTCGGGTTATGGAAGATTTTATAGCAACATTATTTTTTGGATAGTAAGAAAAACCTGTAAATGACATAGAAAAATTTGAGAAATAAAATTATTAAATATACATAAGAAAAATACATGCGTTAAAACACATTGTTTTTTAGTTATCAAGAGTGCTTAATTCAATTGTTTTAAAACTAAATTGAATTCTAGTATTTGTGGTTTGGGTTTTTTTCTCCTTTCTTTCACAGTATATATAGCTGTTTGCAACCAGAAAGAAAGTGAGGTAAACTGTAAAGCACTTCAACTGCAAAGAATCATTCTGAAGTAAACATTGACTCCTGTACAGAATGGTGTGTGTTTCTCAGGGCAGGAACTTGTTTGAGGCTGTGTGTTTTGGGTGGTCTAAGGGTGGTTACCTAGCAACAACCCTTCCTCCAAGTCTCTGAGGCAACAGTGGTACTGCGCATGTCCGCAAATTGATTACTTGTTTGCTAGTTTTAAAGCGAACAGTGCAATCATGTGGTAGGGCACTAGTGTTAATAATTATTTTTAACCCATAACAAAGGAAAACTTACTGTTTTTTTCTTTGTATGATATCTCCTACCTAAGTCTTCCCTGTTATTTCTAGAAACTTATCTAAAGATACTGAGTAAGGAATAGTTCTTTGCACAGAAAATGAAAATAAGGGATAGTTCAGTTGTTTTTGTTAATAACATTTATTCTCAGTTTGCTTTTAAAGCAAGGAATGAAACAGTTACTACACACACAATTGCCTCAGCTCTGGGCAAGAGATAATCTTATCACAACGTGTCCTCAAGAAATGAGACAGCTCAGGCTAGGGTGGGTTCTGTGGAGTAAAATTTATACAGTCTAGGCAGGCTTTAGATGCCAGCATGTTACCACTTGAAGGTAAAATTAATGAGATACTAATTTATATGGAAGATACACACAAGGTACTTATGTTTACCACAAATGAGCTTAACCATATGTTAACAAAAACTTCGCTAGAAAACACACACTTGAGTAAACCTCACAAGATACATTTTATCTGCCGATGGTGTGCATCTCGAATAAATGTCATCCTCCTTTTCCTCTAATGAATGTTTATTCCTAGTGACAATCCCACCAGTGCATGCATGATTGTAGAAGCAGCTAATCGGAACCAAGTGGGAAGATGAGGACACAAACAACATCCCCTGGCAGTGGGGGAGAAAAAAACCCCGAGTACATCAGTTTATGTGTTTTCATAGCACGAAGGTACAAGGAAAAGATCTGTTAGAAGAATGCTAAGCTGCCAAGAGTGTGGGGGCAGGTGAAATGAGAGAGAACGAGACGTTGTGTTAAAAATTTTCCATGATGCAAAGGACTGAAGCCAAGTTCTCCCCAGATACAGCCCTGACGCCCAGCGTGGCTACTCTCCAATGTGTTGGAATCTGTCACTTGTACAGTAGCTTTCTGAGACATTCCCATTGGCCAACCTCCCCTGCCTCATCACACACAGAATACCGTTTGCTTGCTGAGCTCCAGAGCAGAGGATTTCTTTGAGGAACATTAATTGACAGTTGGAGTCACAGCCTTAGTTTTTGTGTTATTATTTTTTTTCTTTTGGAAATTTGTTAAACGTTTGTTTTTTAAAAAGACTCACTATTCATATTAGAATGAATCAGAATGTAGAACCCATTTTTTAAAAACATTTTCTTACTATCAAGGGTATCACCAGTTTGGAATAAAATTTTGTAAAAATAATTATGTCATTTTCTATCTTAATCTGACTCTTGGAACTATTTTCCAAAAATCTCTTTGAAGTCAGGACTTTTGATTACAACTGTTATTCCAGAAGATGCTTTATAATATCTAAAAATGAGAATCAGTGGAAATACAGTGAAATTTACTGGTCAAACCCCACATATTAAAGGAAAGTGAGTTGACAGCCCTGAGTAGACTGACAGCATCCACTCTATATATAGAGAGACAGATAGTATAAATAAATATAAGACTCATTGCTGTCTATTTGAAATTGGCTCATAGCTGTTCCTCCATTGGGTTTATGTGACCTTAAATTGCAAGGGAGAATATTGTCCATCTTTCTCACAGAGAACCACTGGGGAAGTTGAATTCCAGAGAGGGTGTGTGTGTGTGTGTGTGTGTGTGTATTTCAAGGGACTTATTATGAGTTTATTTTTTTATGTGTCAAAGAAAATTTAGGCAAAGGGAAATCTGTTTTTGAGTTTTACAATGACAAGGTTAATAAACACTGACACTTCTTCTTTTCTTAAAAATCAAGTCCATTGTCCTCCAGTTGATTTCAGTTGGCAATGACCCTATAGCAGGGAAGAACTGTCTCCTAGGGTTTCCAAAGCTTCTTTACAGAAGCTGACATCCACAGCTTTTTCCCTAAAAGCAGTTCTTCTGCTAGCAGCCAAAGACGTTAACCACTGCGCTACCAGGGCTTATTTCCTCTTCTTACTCTGTTTCAAATGCTCTCTGTAAATCACATTATTTTCCTAACTCAGACATATATGCTTATTCATCTTGATGAGCAAGTGATATTATATTAGGAACCGACAGGGATCATCTTGGGGTATAGCTATGTATGTCTCTGAGCCCCACAAAATAAGAAAGCTAATCTCCAGTCGTCCAATAGTTAAAATAATTGATGAGTGTGTGTTGAATCCTCAGGAGAAGAGAGAGGAAGCGAGGAGGAGGAGGGGGAGTGGAGAGGTTTGGAGGGAGGAGGGGATGGGGGGCAGGTGCTGATTTCAGCCCTGTAGCGTCAGGATTGCGTCAATTCGGGTTTCAGCCACGTCTGGAGTCTCGGAGACGAGCTTCTCGGAACAGCCAAAACACGAACAGGGGTGACAAATCACCGTGTGAGGGCGAGTGGACCTCCTCTCTGCCTACTCCCTGTTCCAGGCTCTCGGGTCCCCAGGGCTCTGCGCTGTTGTTCCCAACACTCGGCAAAGCCAGCGTCTTCAGATCTAGCAAAGTGAATCAAGCTCGGGAGTTTTCTGTTCAGCACCTCGGACAGAGCACGCAGCAAAAATATGGCTCCGATCACTCCCAGCCGGGAAGAATTTGGTGAGTTCCAAACTCCACTTACAATTGGGGTTGTTCTTGAATCCTCCTGGGTGAGCTGCCCCCTGAACCCCACCCTACTCCCACCTGGGTGTGGGATCGGTTTCCTGGGTGGCTTATCTGAAAGGAAAATTTAAAAAGTAAGCCGGCAGCTGTGGTTTATCTCTGTAGTTTCTCCCTTTCATGGTATCTCTCTGATTAGAAATTGTCTCCTGCTGGGGAGATTTCACCCCCAAGAAGTTTCTAAATGTTTAGGTTCATTCAGGAGACACTGTAAACTGTAGTACATTCTGAAAACAGGGGGGAAAAACCCGGATCTGCTATTTGGCTTGCTGCTTTTATTAATTTTTATAGGTGGATTCTTATTTGCCAGGAAAGCTGTATTTAACTCAGCAGAGGAAGTCAAATGTAGCTGTGGTTACATAAGGGTTTAATCTCCGTGTGAAACAACTTATGTATTAGAGATCTGGCTGTGTATTTTATTACAGAGTGTAACATAAGGGTCTTTTCTCTGCTGTTTTTATGGTATCCTTAAAATATGTTTGTAATGAAAGAATTCCATGACACCTCTAGAGTTGAAGGGAGTTCAGGAATGATCTAGCCCAGCCCATTGCATTTCTCAGGTAAAGTAACTGAAGTCCAAAGGGTGATATGAGTGTTTCAACTAGCTAAATGCTGCTGAAAACTGGAATGAAGTCCTCTATTTTCTAGTTAGTTTTCCTTTGGCTGTACCAAATTTTTGACAACATAGCTTTATTTTTGTTTCAGTAAATAGAAGCAGATGCACTTGTTAGAACAACAAAGTAGAGGTTTTATTAAGGTTTTATTAAGTCCTTAAAGACAACAGATCATAGTTTCATTAACTTTGTAAGTATTTTTTAGAAGGTGTGTAAGGGTTTTTATTGAAGTTTAAAAATACGGAGTGGCGATGTAGGATGATTGTTTTTAAATTGAGTGAAATGATTGAGAGCCTTGCCTTCAAAATCTTGTCAGCAGAAACTATTTTGGGTGTAGGCGGCTGTTACATGTTATATTGACTGTTTTAGCATTTGACATATAGTATGAAGCAGAGACGATCTGACATGCATTCAGAAATGAGTCTTGTATTTTGGAATGTTTGGGATTATTTATTGTGATCTGTATTCTAAATTTCTGATTTAAATATGAACAAATTTGAAATACTAGGGCATTTTCAGGAACTCTGCTGGTTAAATATATATTGCATTGGACTCTTTGGAACCAACAATTTTCTATTGCTTTTATTGTTCTTCTTGCATTGGGTAACCAGTTGCCCCAGTTCAAGACTTTGCTTTTGCTTTTGGCCTTCAATTATTGGAAAAGTCCAGGACTAGAGGTGCTTTTTTGTTTTTTATACCCCATGAAGATATGAAAACTAAAAAGCTGATACTAAGTTTAGAAGATTAACTCTTGTCTCATTCTTTCTTTTCAACATTCATTGCTTTTTCCTTTATGGGAACATCAAAAGGTTTACTTTTTTTTCTCTACATGATTGATATTTTTGATATCATTATACTACAAAATTTTATTGCTATTACTATCTTGTTTTCTTTTTTATCTTCTCAGATATTTCTATTATTTTTCACATCTTAATTTTATATTCTTTCAATTAAATTTTGTGGTTATAAATGATGTAGACAGAAAATTTGGGAGGATAGGGAAGGGAGGTAACAAAAGATTTTTCTTCTTAGGGTTATTCAAACCAGGCTTAACACTTTCCTGACTGGAACTTTAACTTTATTAGTCAAAAGGCAGAATAAGAAATAGGAATGGTACTAAATTCAGATAATATTACATTAGTTATATTCATTTTGATTGATGCACTGGGTCCACACATAGAAATACTGCTGTTATCTACAAAGTGTTACTAATTATTTGTTGGAGAAATATGCTTACATATGGAACATGAGTTGCTTCATGCATAATCAATGTTATCTAATGTCACTAATTTAATGTGCCCTCATTCAAGGAAAGATGCCAATTTCAAATTGATTATCATTTGCCATGTGGAAATATGTCAGGAAAAAAAGTTATGGATAAAATTAAACTCTAAATTATCTATGCTCACTTACTCTTCTCATTACATGTTAAGGAATTATGGTTCCTTTATATTGCTGTTCTATTTTTATGTTATTTAATTGTAATTAACTTGCCCTTTAGCTAATTCAGTGCTTGTTTGAGTGAGGAACTTTGGACTGAAAGACAATGGGGTTTTAATGTTTTAAGTTGTATAGTAATGGTATCCTGTTGCATGTCTTATTCTTTTTTGGTCTTTATTTTCCTCTACTACATTTCTTTTATCTCTCTTCCTTAACTGAGATGAACATGATTAATTAGTTTGTGAAAAAGGCAGAATGACACTCAGTCGTTAAATTGCTTAAATAACTGAATTTATACATGTAAGTTGCTGGAATCCTGGAAAAAAGAATTACTAAGAATAGAGAATCTGCTGTTATTAAAGAATTTGCATTCAGAATTTCTTGATCATTTAAAAATAGGTGATTCTTGAAAGCATTTCATTGTTAATAAAAAATGATAAAATTAATACTGGCTTATACGGTTTCATACAATTTAAAAAAGTAGATAGGTTGGAGTCAATAAGTCTCAACTTCTATATATGGTTTAATTTTACCTTTATTTTGTTTATGAAAACCTTCTGAAATGAAGAAGTTTATATCATATTGCTATTTTTTCCCAGTGTATCCCATAGGTTATATGTTTATATTGGCAAATGGTGTGAAATATATATATATACACTAATAGTTGACACAGTGAGAAGTTATTGGATCTGTCCAACCTACAGCAAGTACCAGCTCTATTGTGTGTCTTTTTGTTTGCTTATTTTCTGAAAGGGTCCTATTTCAAGCTCTGCTCCTTTAATGTGTATTATTGATCATTTGATTTTTCAGATGAAATTCCCGCTGTGGTGGGGATCTTCAGTGCTTTTGGCCTGGTCTTCACAGTCTCTCTGTTTGCATGGATCTGCTGTCAGAGAAAATCATCCAAGTCTAACAAGACTCCCCCCTACAAGTTTGTGCATGTGCTTAAAGGAGTCGATATTTACCCTGAAAACCTAAATAGCAAAAAGAAATTTGGAGCAGATGAAAATAATGAAACCAAGAACAAGCCAGCCATGCCAAAGAGCTCATTGCATCTCAATCTTGAGAAAAGAGATCTTAATGGCAATTTTCCCAAAACAAACCTCAAGGCTAGTAGTCCTTCTGATCTAGAGAATGTGACCACAAAGCTCTTTCCAGAAGGAGAGAAAGAGGCAGTGTCCCCTGATAGCATTAAGTCCAGCACTTCTTTGTCTTCAGAAGAGAAACAAGAGAAACTGGGAACCCTCTTCTTCTCCCTAGAGTACAACTTTGAGAAGAAAGCATTTGTGGTAAATATCAAGGAGGCTCGTGGCTTGCCGGCCATGGATGAGCAGTCAATGACCTCTGATCCATACATCAAAATGACAATACTTCCAGAGAAGAAACATAAAGTGAAAACTAGAGTTCTGAGAAAGACCTTGGACCCAGCTTTTGATGAGACCTTTACATTCTATGGAATTCCCTACACTCAGATCCAGGAGTTGGCCTTGCACTTCACCATCTTGAGTTTTGACAGGTTTTCAAGAGATGACGTCATTGGAGAAGTCCTTATTCCTCTCTCAGGAATTGAATTATCTGATGGAAAAATGTTAATGACCAGAGAGATCATCAAGAGAAATGTTAGGGTAATTTATTCTTAGTACTTAAAGTATTTATAACAATCTTTATTTAGGGATGTGTTTGGTACTTTTTTTTTTCTTTTTAAAAATTTCATCTTTTCATCAAAATGTTAAGTGAGTTATATCATCATTGTTATGTTGAATTTTTATGAGTCTGAATTAAAAGGGAGCTAGGGGAAAAGGCAAATGAAAGAAGAATTAACCCACACCTGAAATGTTCAAAATATTTTAATGGTATAAAATAGATAAGTATATACTATGAGTATTTAAATGTGTTTGTATAAATAGCCCAATAATTTACAACGTGACAGTTTTGTCAAAGACAGCAACTTAAATGGAAAACAAGAAACTCCTTCATAAGCAATTACTATCAATCCTTCAAAGTCAGCAACATTGAACTGAAGCTGAAGTTTAAAATTAAACCAATTCTTTTAGAATTTGGAATTTACTGACTTTGAATAGAATGACTTTTCAAAGAGAAGTACCAAACCAAATCATGTAGAACTATAAATGCCCACTTTTGTTCTATATAACTGAAGTGAGTTGTTATGCCTTTGCACTGGGCACATTAACAATAATGAGCTATCAATGTTGCAAATTCAATCTGATTTTCATTTTAAGGATTCAATTGGATCAAATCTGGATAGCAAAGAAAAACTTTTGTCTTTGAAGACATACCTATACAGAATTCCTTAAATAGATTAACTTAGGGATGAATTTTTACTACCTCCTTACTTTTTTTTCTTCGTTGAAGCTAATAAAGGTCAAGGCCTATGGAATTATTTGTAGCCCAGAGACTTGTGTCTGTTTGAGACAACAAGTTATTTAGTGGTATGGTGGGAATAACTACATCTCTTTATTTGCTTTGGATGGCTTATTCATGTTTGCTTTTGCATAAGTTTATATTGCAGAGAAAGGATTTCTGGCCAAGAATCATTGTTTGTTATACCCTCATCTCCAAAACTTATTTCATTAGTTCCTGTTGAAAGTTCTTGCTAATCTTTCATAGTGACTCCAAAGTGTTCAAATTCCTATGTGTCATGAAAAGTAGTATAATACTGTCCAAAGGAACAAGATTGTCTAAATATGAAGAGTTAAAAGTCTGAGGCAATTCTCTCCAAAGTGAATTCATTGTGTAGGTGAAATGAGGTAGCACTGGTTAAATTAAGCAGTTGGGTGCTTACTTAAAGGTCTCCAGTTTGTACTAACCAGGTTCTCTGTGGGAGGAGACATGGCAGTCTACTACCTTAAACATTACGGCCTTGAAAACCTTATAAGACTGCTCTACTTTGTCCGACTGTCAGTCAGAATGAACTCAAAGACAGTGGGTTATTGCAGAGGGTAGAGGTTCTTAATCCTGCCAGTCTTTTGTGCTAGAGCAGTGTTAAGGTCAGGATAAGTTTCATTTGATTTGAGTCTTAGTTCCAATAATAGAACTTCTCAAGAAGTTTACATCAAACCAAACTTCATCTAAGGATGAGTATTGTTTTTCTTTACACTGATCCATTAAAATGAAAAAAATCACATTCAGGAACTTATTAATAATAAAATATTTGTTGTTGTTACTGTTGTTGATTGCCGTCAAGTCAAGGAGGACTCATAGCGACTCTGTGAACAGAAGACCTAATGCCTTTCCATAACTGTCATCATTTCTACAAGTTCATAGAGTTTCTACAGGCATGTGGTTTAGGAAGCAGATGCCACTCCTGCTTTTTAGTTACTGCAAAGAAAGAGACCAGTAACTAAAGAGCAAAAGTGATAAATAATATATATGTATTATTATATGTTGTTGTTGTTTTTCATAGAATTATCCTTTAAAACCTTTTGAACATGTCTAAGTAATGGGTGTGGCTAACAGTGCATATTTTAGCACTCTGTTGTACCTCAAAAGACCACAAGGTGGCAGACAGTTGTTCATAGGAATTGAGAGTGCTGTGCAAAAAAACTTAGATTCTACAGTTTCTAAATATGAAAATAAGTAGGAACATTTTGATTAAATATCAGAATTCTTTGCTATTGATTTAAAATACTTTTAGAATTCTCAGTTACAAATTTAAAAGACAATAGAAACATTTATAATGCTTCTCTCTCATTTGTTTAGAAATCTTCAGGACGGGGTGAACTATTGATTTCTCTTTGCTATCAGTCCACCACAAATACACTCACTGTGGTTGTTTTAAAAGCTCGACACCTGCCTAAATCGGATGTATCTGCACTTTCAGGTAAGAATACCTCAGGGAAATTTGAGAGTCAGTGTATAATTGGAGAACAACACTATGAATGAACCCGATCATCAACAATTAAGGTTGGCCTCAGCCACAAACAATTGCTTTTTATTTATAATTTTATGGAATATCACTCTGACCCAATGCCAATAACGAGAAGAAAAGATAAATACCATTTTTCAGATTCAAGCCAGTTTTAGGCACCGGAAATAAATTGTCTGAATGGGAGTAAAAAGCAGAGAACAATGAGGAATGCAGAGGTAAGACGCTAACGTCAAAAGTAAAAGTACAACACAGGGAACAACTTTATGGATCACAAAGGGGTTCTTCTTTCAGTTTTTTGGGCTCAGCCCACCTGCTCTTCCTCTTCTGTTGAGTTTTCGATCTCTCTCTTTCTTCATGCATATTTTTTTTAATTAAGAGTGAAAACTATGCTAGTCTTACAAAGAAAGTCTGCTTAGTGTAGTGTGATAACAAAGACAGTGAACTTTGAGTAAAAGTGTCCTTAATACAGATCTTAACCCTTCTACTTCTTACACAAGACACCTTAACTATGTTTCTTAAAATGTTTAAAAATTAGACTTATTTATAGTTCCCTTGAAGGGCGTGAGAAAAAGACTAGAAAATAATAGTGAGTTATTTATAGGGTGCAAATGTTTAAGCTTTTGACTTAAGAAGGTTGATGGTTTGAAAATCCTCAGAGGCATCTCAGAAAGAAATTTGACAATCTGCTTCCAAAAAGATCACAACCTTGAAGATATTATGAAACACGTAGGGATGCTATGAACTGGAACTGACCTGATAGCCACTGTACTTATGTTTAGCATTTGATCATGGAAGTTTAAAACACCATTTAAAAAGTTGAGATTATCTCATATCCCATAAGCAGAAAAAGTTACTAAAATAGTGTCATGAAATGTAGTTTCAAGTACTATGATCCTAAAATTTATACAGAATTGTTAGAAGATTGAGAGAGGAGAGAGGAACACTGGGCTACAAAGGAAGCAATCCCAGTGACATGCAGGGTAGCAGCATTTTGAAGTCTAAATCTTTATTCAACAGAAAAAAAAAGTAACTGAAAGAGGTGGAAAGATATACCCCAAATTGTATAGCACAGTTCTGATACACGCCATCTGATATTTTTCCTTCTATCCTCACTTTTGGAACGAGTTACTGGTAGTCAAGCTGAGCCTATAGAATAATCTATTTTTATTCCCTTTTATTCACTGACATTCATTTCTTCCCATCTTTTGGTTTAGGGTTCTCTTCTGTGTCACATCTGCTTACTTCTTCAATTTGTTGATAATGGAGAATCCAGGCTTTGACCACCTTTTCACTGTGTCTTAAGACATTTTCATTGCAATTGAACTTTATTGTCACATAGTGATCTGTAAATGCTATGAACTTGAGATGAGCTCTCCTCTCTGGTCCTGCCAGTGTAATGCCTATTCTTTGTCATTGCAGATCCTTACGTCAAAGTCAACTTGTACCATGCCAAAAAAAGGATCTCCAAAAAGAAGACACACGTGAAAAAATGCACCCCCAATGCAGTATTCAATGAACTGTTTGTCTTTGATATTCCTTGTGAGAGTCTTGAAGAGATAAGTGTGGAATTTCTAGTCTTGGATTCTGAGAGAGGATCTCGAAACGAGGTGATTGGGCGCTTGGTCTTGGGTGCAGCAGCAGAAGGCAGTGGTGGCGAGCACTGGAAGGAGATCTGTGACTTTCCCAGGAGGCAAATCGCCAAGTGGCATATGCTCTGTGATGGTTAGCATCCTAGCTATGAGCTGGAACTACATGATTTTTCTAGGCAAGGAGTAATTCTCTTTCTTTGTGATATGTAACTTGCAAGCTTGTGACAGCAAGCTACCTTGTTTTTGTTAGAAATGGATTGAATTAGACCAGAAAGTAACTGTAAATGTGTATCATGATAATTTCCCCCTTAATTTTGAGAAATGGGATAATTTTCATAAGATATTAGTTTTCCATGAAGGTTACCAATGTCAGAAATAAAAATAGTAAGCATTTTTTATGAGTATGGACCTGTTATTTCAAGTTATGAGTGTGGTTACCAAGTGTTGACCTCATTGGAATACCTCATTGGAAGATAAAGTGCTTGCTCTGATTTAGAAATGAAAAGCATGTTGTCTCTTGTGAAAATTCATCCACTTTTCTTCTGCCTGGGGAAATAAATTTTTCTTTAAATCCAAAGATACTGAAAAAATGTGCTCTAGTTTGTTTTTTAAAAAAAAAAATTAATTATGTCATGTGCAAATGGTTGTCCTGCATATAAAAGTATGTGGTTGTTTCTCTTTGATTTGTAATTATTTGATACAATTAAATCATAAAAGTAGTAACTTAGATTTATTATAAAAGGGCAGTGAATAAACTAAGAAATAATTGTATCTAAGGGCTGAGTTGTGAACACTGTGGCTGCAAAAGGATTTCTCACTCCCCCTACGGTAATTATGTGAGTTAAAATGTTAAATATTTTCTCACATAAGAACTACAGTCTTGAATTATTCACTGCCTGTCACAAGCCTCAGTGTGACCTAAGAAAACCTTATTTACCTTTGTGAAGTTGTCAGCTTAGCTCACGGATAAAGAAATAAACTTCAGCTAGAAGTCCCATTTTCTTGTAGGAACTATGTACAGTGTGCAAGTGTTCTTTTTAAGTCATCTGTTGTACCTAGAGATGGCATTGGTAACTAAGTCTCCTTGTAGCTTGGCCCCTATCCCACAAATGACTAAGCTACTATTTGAAAATAAGAGGTAAAAAAATTAAAGAAGCTGTAAAGTTTTACTCATTGTCTGGTAGAAAGTGCTACTTAGAACCAACAGACTACAAATTACCTTAAGAAGCAGGCCTAACATAATTTACACATGTTCACACAAAATATATTTAGGCTGTCAAATTAGCACAACAGATTATGTGTTTCACTATCTTTTTTAGGCTAATTTGTCTTGAGCTGAGCTGTCGTCTGTGGAACAATTTCTAGACTTGTGTCTCGTACCGTGTTCCAGAGCCAGAGCTCTAAAATTCATTAAAAACTTGTAAGCGTAAAGCAGTGCCATTGTGATTATTTGGGACAAATGACCTTGAGGGTATCTTTATTATATTTGAGTTTTTAGAGAAGTATGAGTGAGACTCGGGTACAGTTGAATTACTAAATATGCAAGTTAGAAATGAAGTCTACTGAACAATTTACATTTCGAGTCTTTCCAGGTTTTGTGTCAGTAATTTAGCAGTTTTTTGAGAATGTGTTTGATATCTCAGTGTTTGTAAAATTCTATGAAAATGCATTTTCAAAACAACTTATACATGCTTTTTATGACTATGCCTAATGTAAAGAAAACGTATTACATTCTGGATGTACAAAGATTGAAAAATCAATCTCTTCTCTTTTTGTGTGCTTTAAACTGACTTTGGGATAAAAAAAAATTAATATTCCACAACCATTGTGCTCATCCCACCATGAAACCATTTCTGACCATCTTGGTCCACTCCACATTTCTGTAAAAACAACCTGAATCGAGTTGCCAGTTTGTGGTTTGGGGAAGTCAAATGGCCATCTGGGTTATGTATGTTTTGGTATTAGAGGCCATGGAATGGAATTTATTTTGGAAGTCTGCAGGTTTGTGAGGAGTCAATTCTTCTCCTCCTCAGGAGTCAGAAGGAAATGGTGTTACCAGTTTAAGATTAGTTGTAAAGGGGAGGGGTTTTGGTTTTTGTTTAAAGTACAACAACTAATCCTACAACAATAGTTATGTTCCATTTGCAAAGGGTTATTTGTAAATAGCTTTTATTTCAAGTCTTAATTTTTCAAGTGTTTCTGAGCGTGGAAAGTTGAATAAAACGATTTGCAACTGGTTTTAAGAGACAAGAAGAAAAATAAGAAAAGAATTGAAGTAGGCAGGGACATATATGATACAACCATCTGACAGTGTTACTGTTTTATAGTGTTTTACAGTGTGATATCTTGAATTCTGTTACAAATTCTGCACATGTATTAAACATGTAAATTAATGTCTGTCTGATTAACCAATCTAACCAGCCTGATTGGGAGCTATCAATGTTTAAAGACCTGTGTAACTCAGTAACTGACTTTTCTGATGTCATAACTCAATACAAGTGATTTGGAGGGAAGCGTGATGTACAAGATGCTGTCTGTTCTTTTGTGCCAGCTCTGTATAATGTTTGTAAGACCACGTTTGTAAGACATGAATAAATTGCTGCTTTTGCCCATGCCATTTCAATTCAAACTTTTGGCCAATGGACTTTTTGCTCAAGCTTCTACTATTTTTTGTGTGAGCTCTCAAGTTTCTCTAATGGATCCCCTGAGATGGGTTAGGGGGTATCAGTGAAAGGCACTTTGTTCTTTAATTGCTTTCTTTTGTTCTGATTAATCCTTATAACAAGCTCCTGTGGCAGTTATCCTTACTGTCAGTTTACCTCTATGTGGATTTGTGCTTGTTGTCAAAAGAGCCAGTTCTTAGAAAAAAGACATAATGCTGGCGAAGATGAAGAGTCAGAAAAAGAGACGAAAACCCTCAACAGGTTGGATTAACATGATGACATTAACATTGGACTCAAGCATATCACAAATGGTTAGAGTGGCAGAGGAGAGCGCAGGGTTGAGCTCTGTTGTTCATAGGGTTACTATGAGTTTGTAGTTGACTCCGTGGCCCCTAACAACTTGTTGATTTACCTAAACTGTTGCCACTGAGTGGAATCTGACCACATAGCAGAGAATGGAACTGTTCCATAGATTTAAAAAAAAACAAAAAAAAAAAAAACAAAAAAAACCAAACCAAAACAGGCATTACATTTTATGGAAGCAGATTTCCACATCTTGTTCTTACAGAATGGTTGGTGTGTTCAAACCACTGACCTTTAATTTGGTAGCACAGTGGGTGACTACCTTCTGTGTCACTGAGGGTCTTTTAAGCATCATTATCGAAAAACATAATGAGAGGCATTAGAAATTTAAGCCATTGTCTCCAGTGCACATGAAGAGTAAAAAAAAAGATTTGAGAAGATTCACCCTCCTCTTCTCTCCATTCCATTACAGAGATTAGTAATCCTTTTCAAAGGATCTGTAATTTTCGTCTTTACTAAATTTCAAAGAGGCATAACTTTATTTTCTTTGTCTTCTTTTATCGATATTTTATTCATGTTTCTATTACTTTATTACTGTTTTACTAATTTTTTATTGTTCTTTACTCTTTTTTATTTTGACCTTTTATGACCTAAATTTTAACTATTTTATTTTTTATTTTAATTCACCTCATTTGTTTATTTTTTATCTCACATACTTAAATTGAATGGATTTATGTAGGAAAAAGATTATGGGAAGCCTTATTTCCTGTTCAACAGAAGAAAATGAAAGCAAATCAAAACCTGATGCCTTTAGTGTACCCATCAATTAGCAAATTAGCTTTTTTCTTTCAAGGTACCAGGCTATAAGGAGATGTTCTAAACTCATCAATCACAGAAAAATAACAATCTTGTAAATGGAATTCAAATAATATTTTCTCCCATTATATTTTGACGTAAAGTATATTAATTATGTTAAAGAGTGGGCATGCTGTTGCTGTATGCCGTGGAGCAGGGACTGACTCATAGCTGATCTTCCAGTGGGTTTTCAGAGGCAATAAATGATTCAAGAGGAGATTGCTCAACCTCCTGTGGAGAGGCTGGTAGAATCAAATCACGTGCCTTTGGGATTTCAACACAGCTTCTTATCCCTAGGCCACCAGAGTGCGTAAGTGTGTTAAAAGAGTAATTTGGCCATTACAGTTAGCATCTCAAGCGTAGTTGAGGGTTGGAAACTGAATGACACAAAGATTAAGTGTCCAGTTGCTAGAACAAACGTAGGGGGTTCCTGTTCACTCGTGGGCTGCCTTAGAAGCTTCTGAAATGTGAGCCATTGGAAACCCTGTGGAGTTGAGTTCCACTCTGACACACCTGGGACCACAATGAGCCAAGCGCCAACTCAAAAGCACCTGCTCCACTGATTGGGCCCCGCGCAAATCAAGTACAGACCCTGTGAGAAAATTTTCTTAAGCATTAATTAATAGTGAGTCGTAAAATGAATATCACTGTGCGCCTATTGTTGTAACTGACCTTCTAGCCGACCCACCAGCAGAAAATCTCCTAGAGGGTCAGCTATGAGTTGATTCTAACTCAATGATCCCTACAACAACAGCAAACAACAACCAGAGAAATAGAAGCATATGTTAGCATAACAACTCATGTAGGAAAATTTAAAATGCCTAAAATAGCGAGCTCGTTGGCTTAGTGGTAAGTAATTGCACTGCCAACAGTAACATATTTAGTTCGAAACCACTAGCTAGCTGCTCTAGGAGAGAAATACAGGCAATCTCCTCCCCTAGAATTTGCTTCTGCTGAAAATCCACTGGCGGATCAGCTGTGGACTAGTTCTGATTAAATGGTACACCACAATAAAATATGACTCATCGCAAATGTGTACCAACAAGTAAATGGATGAACAGTTTGTGGTATATTCATTTAATGGAATACTGTTGAAAGAAATCTGACTCGCTCCTGAGTGATAATAACAATGTTAGTTTGGAAACTAAGGTGTGCCTAATGAAGGCCATGGTCTTTGTCAAATCACTGTATGTCTGAGAATTGGACTATGAATAAGGATGACTGAGAATTGATGCCTTTGAGGTTTTGTTCTGGAGGAGAATATTGAACATACAATGGACTGCCAAGCAAAGAAACACGTTTGTTCTGGAGAGGGTGAAACCAGTGTGCTTCTTAGAGGCAAGAATTTTAAAGCTCCTTCTCACCTTCTTCGGACATGTTACCCTGAGGAACCAATCCTTGGAGAAGGACATCATGTTTGGAAGGGTAGAAGGTGAGTGCAGAAGAGGAAGACCCTGGATGCGACAGACTGCAATGTGATTGTGGCAATGGGTCAAATGTGTTTGAGACAGTGAGGCTGGCTCAGGACAGCGCCAGGTGCTGAGCCATTGCTCTAGGGTCACAAAGAGTCAAAGTCTACT